TGACAGGTGTTCAAGAAATAAAATGATTGCACGGAAGGCGGCAGGTCATGTGTAACTCGCAGTGACAGCCCTGTGGAAGCTGCCAGCAGGTGTCTGAGATTTGTGCCTGATACAAAGAATTACTTTTCCTGCTGTGAGGGAAGTGGTTGATGGGTTGCATTAAACACTGAGTCTGGGGCTGGGGTGTTGCTCAGTGGTGGAGCGAACCTGCGTGGGTGAGGCCCTGGTTTGATCCCAGCACTAAAAACAGCCAGACAAAACCCTGCCTCTGCCTCCTGCCACGTGTTTGCTCTGGCCCCTTGAGCGTCTCCCCACTGCACTCCAGCACTCGGCCAGCTCTGGCCTGGCCTCCTCCCAGGACCATTTCCCATGTGCTTCCTCTCTCTAGGCTTCCGGTTATTCCAGCGTGTGAGCCCTGTGCCTGCAGTAGGGCCTTTGTACCTGCAGCTCTGCTTTACAGGAGCCCCCCACTTCTCCAGAGCTACACCTTACACACTTTGTGGCCTTAGTCCTTCTCCTTCTTCTGTTCTCAGCTGAGATTCCTCAGGAAAATGGCTCTCGACCCTCTACCTACTCTTACTCTGTTTCCCCCTTGTAATATTTTTTTCTTTTTCTGAATAGAAAAATGAAGGAAAATAACTATTTGTATGTTTGGAATTCCCTTTCTAAATGGCAAGCTCAAGGGCTGGCCAAATAGCTCGGGGGATTAAAATGCCTGAGTAGGCAGAGCAGTGGCTGGGGTTCACTCCCTGGCGTGCTGAGCCGGCCGGCCCCGGGGCACACTGAGAAGGTGAGACTGGGTGTGGCGGTGTGCACCTGTAATCCCAGGTCTTGGGAGGCTGAACACAGATGGATCACTACGAGTCCGATCTACATAGAGAGACCCTATAGACCCTATGCTAAATACGAAAACAAAACCAAACAAACAAACAAAAACTCTATCAGGCAGAAACTTATGTCTATATTGATGAGAGTTAGGCACATGGTTGACACTTAGATCAGCCACATCTTGTTGCTGGCCTGTGTACCTTACACATGCAGTTTAAAAGAAAAGACATCGACTTGATTCATGGTTACAGAGGTCCCAGTCCATGGGCAGCTGGCTCCAGGGCAGGAATGGTGTGGTGAAAGGCCTGGCACAGGGAAGCTGTATGCATCCGGGGCATCCGTGAAGAAGACAGCACAGGAAGAGAGTTAGAGAAAAAGGGGCCAGGGATGAAGAAGAAGAAGGGGGGCACCAGCGGAGACAGCTCAGCAGCATAAGTACCTGCCTGGCAAGTACAGTGTCCTGAGTTCAATCCCCAGTACAGATAAGACAAAACAAAAACAAAAATTCCAAAACAAAGAACTCTATCCAGGAAAGAGGAAGGGGCCCAGTCACCTCCAGTGACCCACCTTCTCCACCTAGGCCCCACCTTCCCATTCTACAGCTTGCTATTTTCTTTTTGTGTCTCTTTCTAAAAACTTCTTTTCGATATAGGGTCTTGCTGCGCAGTTTGGACTCATAGTGACCCCCCCCAGTGCTGGGATTACAGGCATGTGCCACCACGCCCAGTTTCAGGCTGGCATGGCATGTGGTAAGGAACTGGGCACTGGACCCCGGACCTCACCCTTGCTGGGCAGGAGCTTAGACTGAGCGACCTATCTTCCCAGCCCTGGACTGCTGTTTTCATTTAAGAATGTAATTTGACCCCAGTAATCCACCAAGCAGAGCTTAGTGGTACATTCCTATAATCCCAGATACTCTGGAGGTTGAGGGAGAACTACAAGATCAAGGTCAGTCTGAGCAACTTATACTCTAATGCAAAATAAATGCAAAGGGTTGAGGTTGTAGCTCAGCAGTAAAACATCCCTGGGTTTGATCTTTAGTATAGAAAAAAATCTAATTTTGATCTATATCTATATTTACATGTCTCTATACAGAGTCTGCCAGTACATGTACACACATTTCAGCAGAAGAAAAATAGTATGCTTTCTCAACAGATGGTGTTACCCTCACATGGGGACCTTAAAGGATGTTGTATATTGCAGAAAACCCACTCTACTGTTGACTCTTAGAAAAGACATTGAAAACGCATATGGCATTCTCCGTGGGCCAAGATCCTGCAAGCAGCAAATGGCGGTACTGACCAATGGGTGCTAATGACCAACCCTGTGAGCGCCTCTCATAATTGCAGAGGCCGAGCTAACCTGTATTATTCTAATGGTGTCTAAATTTATTTTTTGATTAATTGATTTTTCTTTTTCTTTTTTTTCTTTTTTTTTTTTTTTTGCGGAACGGGGATTGAGCTCAGGCCCTTCCACTTGCCAGGGAAGCACTTATTCCACTGAACCATTTCCCCGGTCCTGATTTTTCTTTTTGAGACAGGGTCTTACTATGCAGTTCGGGCTGGCCTTGTGATCACTTTTGTAGCCCCAAGGCCATTTTTTGTTTTGTTTTTTTTTAATTTTTGGCGGAACCGGAGATTGAACTCAGCCCCTTGCGCTTGCCAGGGAAGCGCTTATTCTACTGAGCCATCCCCCCCATACCCCTCACCCCAGGCTGGTCTTGAACTCACAGAGATTATCCTGACCCAACCTCTTGAGTGCTGGGATTACAGGAGTGCACCACCACGCCCAGTTCTGGGGCAGCATGGTGGGTACCCACATCCAGGGGCTGAGACAGCTCACTGCCTGGATCTGGGCCAAGACCACACTGCATGTGGGGCTGGGGATTGAACTTGGGTTCTTGTGCTTACAGGTAGGTGCTTATGCCTCTGAGCTATCTCTCCAGGCCCCTCACTAAATTTAATATTAAAATATTTATAAAGTGCCGGAGAGATAGCTGAGTGGACTAAGTGCTTGCTTAGGCAAGCGAGGGACTGGGGTTTGAACCTGGCACCACATTGCCACACCGGCCCTGCTCCTGGGTGAGCTGAGTTGGCCACTGAGTCCAGGCGTGGTGGCACATACTTGTAATCCCAGTGCCGAGAGACTGATGACAGGTTTATCACTATGAGTCCGAGCTGCATAGTGAGACCCTGCACCAGATACACAGAAAATAAAATATTTATACAAGTTTTTTCTGAACTGTGTATATTTTTTTTGGTGATCTCTATGTCTATATATTTATATTTATCTATATTTATATCTCTATCTTTCTATGCTGATATAGATCAAGGTCATTTTTATTTGCAATACTGGGGGACTTTGCACTAAACTACATCCCCAAAGTGATGTTTTTCTTTGATTTTTTAAAAATTTTTATTTTAGGGAAGGGTCTACAGGGTGTTCAGGGTCTATTAGATCGGACTCTTAGTGACCCGCCTGTTTACAGCCTCCCAAGAGCTGGGATTACAGGTGCACGCCACCACACCCAGTCTCAGTTGCCTTCTCAGTGTGCCTCGAGGGTGGGGCTGGCATGGCGGGGCTGGGGATTGAACAAACCTGACAGTGGCCATCTTTCCCACATGAACATGACCATGGCCATCTTTTCCAGAATTGAGTAATGAATTAAGTGTGAACTGAAATGCCACTGCACCTGATTCATCTACAGAGGGGCTTATAGGGGTGTGAGCAATGATGCCTGGTGGGTAGAATGAGTCCCTGGGGGGCACGGCCTGGAGGGCACAAAGCCCTCCTCTTCCCTTGATTCCCTCCAGCTTCTGGCTTGTTGCTTCCTGCCTGCCCTACCATGAACCATTTCTTCTCCTCTGCAATGCCCCTCGGCCCATCTACCTTGCCTTGGAGCCAGATGACTGGACTGAAACTACAAACCATGAGCTAAATAAACCTTTCCTCCTTTAACTTTGGGTGTTGGGTGTTTTGTTTCAGCAATGAGAAAAATAACTAAGACACCTGGCTCATCTGGTTTTTAAAATTATTATTTTTTCATTATTTTGGGGCAAAGTTCCCTATTATAAAAAGAATTGATGGGAAAATATAGAGAAAATGTCTGAAGTCTTTTACTGAGAGAAAACTATTGTCAACATACCCAGTCACCCATTTCCTCCTACTTTTTTTTTTTTTTTTTTTTTTTTGCGGAACCAGGGATTGAACTCAGGCCCTTGGGTTTGCCAGGGAAGCGCATATTCCAGAGCCATCTCCCCGGCCTTCCTCCTACTCTTGTGTACTATTTTTGTTGTTGTTGTTGTTGTTGTTGAGTTTGAGCTCACAATGCATGTGTTGTGCGTAAATGCAATCAGTGCCAGTCTAAGGAAAAAAAAAAACCAAAAACCTTTTAACAATGTACTCGGGTGGGCCGGGGAGATAGCACTGCTGTCTGCCTCCCTGGCCAGCGTAAGGACCAGCAGATACCCAGCACGCATGCGATGTCGTCTGGCTAGCTACCGAAACCACGTGTGGTGGTGCACGCTTGTAATCCCAGCGCTGGGGAGGCTGAAACAGGAGCATCCCTTGGAGTCCAAGCTGTGTAGTGAGACCATGAACCAAATAAACTAATAAAAGATTAATTTTTTACATGCACCTTAGTTTAAGCTAACTCCCACCTCTTCTAATCTTTTGCCCCCATACCCTGAAAAATGTAGTCAGTTGGGAGGTCCAAGGCCCATCCCAGCGGACCTGAACTGAGGTGGCCCAGAACACAGGAGGTGGGAGAAACCCTGGAGGGCAGCATGAGTAAAGGAGGGACCCTGAGGTGTATACTGACTGCGCACTACGAATCCGAATCCTTTGAGGAGGATGTGGAGAACTTTCCCTCTCTCCCCTTCCTCTCTTCCTCCTCCCTGCTCCTCTTTGTTTTTTTAAATTTTATTTATTTGTGTGTGTGTGTGTGTGTGTGTGTGTGTGGCCAGCTCAGCCCACCAGGGGGCGGGGCTGGCTGGCTTGTGGTGCTGGGGGATCGAACCGTGGTCCCTGTGCTTTGCTGAACTTGTTCCAAGTAGGTGCTTTAGACCACTGAGCCATCTCACCAGCCCCCCTGCTCCTCTTTGGAGACAGGCTCTCACTCCGCTGCCCAGCCTGGCCGGAACCCCCGCCTCACGCTCCACAGCAGGTCTGGTGGGGGCCAGGGTGCACGGCAGCCAGTACGAGGGGCAAGCTGCGCCGCACTCTGCTCCAGCGGCGCCACAAACGTTTGGCTCGTCTTGGCCCACGTCCTCTAAGCGAGTCACAGTTAAGTCCACCGGGCGCGGGAGGAGAAAGATTCTCAGGAGCGCGGAGAAGAGCCGGGCACGCTGCTCACAGCGAAGACACGACGTCAGGCAGAACAGGGCCGGGCCGAGGGAGCTTGGGGCGGCTGATCCGCGTTCCGGGGGAACTTGGGCGCCCTCCGAGCTGCCCGGCGCGGGAGCCACTGGCCTGCCTGAGGGAGGCGGCGTCGGCTCCACACTTCCTGCGACGCAGTGCTCGCTGGTGCGGACCTACAGGACCGCGCGGCGCGGCCGACCGCTCGTCAACACGGTGCGCGGCCGGCGGGCACGGAGGAACCGGGCCGCGAACCCACGTCCACACGCTCCGCAGCCCGTGCTGTTAGCCAACAAGGCGTTCCCGGAGATGCAGGTCGGCAACAAGCCTCACTCCACACCTCCGCCAGAGCCAGTATTCTGTGGTCCGACCAACTTCGAGCCTGCGTGGGGGGCAGAGGCCAGGGTCGGGAAGGTCGCCTCTCACGAGTCGCAGCACAGGAGGGGCGTCGTCCGCCCGCCCGGCTCCGCGCCTCAGCCGAGGGACGCAGGAGCTAGCGGGCTTCTCGCGCGTGCGCGCGACGGGGGCGGGGGCGGGGCGGGGCGGGGCGCG